AGTGGAAATTCATGACTATTTGCATGTTTTTATATACTCTACTTTAATACGACGGATACATTATTTAGTTTAGGTTCTATTTTTTTTTGTGCCATATTTCGATTTATTTGCTATTAGTTTATTACTGTGGCGTGGATTTGTGTATCATATACTTATCTTCTACTTATAAATAAATAAATAAATATATATATATATATATATATATATATATATATATATATATATATATATATAGATGGAGGGATGGGTATTTATGACGCCATATATGAACTGTTATGGTATAGTGATATATATATATATATATATATATATATATGATGTCATGTATGGACTGTCGATCTATTCGTTTTTATTCACCTGTTTTTCATTGTTTCGGTACATGTTCTTTAACTAGCTGTCGTTTAATTAAGCAAATATAAAAATAATTAGTTTCCGGTACATTTTGTATGTTTGTAATGATATGATGAGAAAGTTCTCAGGTGTGGCAGTTATTTGTTCACGAAATTTATCTTTTGAAATTATATATATATATATATATATATGTGTGTGTGTGTGTGTGTGTGTATGTGTGTAGGTGCGTATCGTTATTATTCTACATATATGTGTGTCGTGTGTATATATACGTGCTTACGGATGTAAAGCACTTGGGAACTGTTCCAAATCTCACTGAACTTTTGAATGCGGTTTACTAGTTGGCCACTTAGTCAGACCTTTTTATTTATATTTAGTTTCACTTTTCTCTTCATTGATACGATTCGGCAAAATTGATTTTAAAAGGAAAAATTTTTATTGAGAGTTCTAATAACCTCCACAACAAGTCACCTCACTTGATTGTTTGAAGAACTTTAATGTTTGCCTGTAATTAGGTTAGTAGTTAGTAATTAGTTTGTTTAAACTGAGTTGTTAGAGAGGTTTTTGACTTGTTTCTTTCTTGCTTGTGTAACTATGTAAGGTTGTTAGAGATAAGATAGACAGTTTGTGTGTTATGCGTGTGTGTGTGTTTGTGAATATATAAAAATAAAATAAATTATTCAATTGCCCTTAGTGACTCTTGCAAATGAAATGATGGATCTAGAAGACGAGAGTGGAGTTACATGTGCGGATTGTTCAACTTCAGAAACTGATTTTTGGGAAGAATTGTGTTTGCCCCTGGGCACGCGTGATTCGTCATCATCATCACAGGCAGTAAAAAAATACATCTGCTCAAAATGCTTCACAAAAAGAAAAAGTTCTACTCAGAAATATTCAGTTGATAGGGAAGTGCTTGAATCTTCATTGTCACAGTTGAGACTTTTACGAAGAAATAACCTCCTCCTAAAGCTAAACTCATCTAGCAAAACAGGCAAGCCAAAAATTCAACCTTTTTTGACTGTCATATTGAAATATTAACTTTTTACAGAACTTATTCTGGAAATTCAAAAACTACATATTTGCCGGTTAGTTTCTTGTACACAGCTGTAAATGTATCCAGCCTGTGCTCAACATTGATCTGTTGGCTTTTGTCCAAATGAACTTTAATTATTTGACTCCAATCTGTCTTGATTCTTATTCTTTTACCAACAATTTCAAAAGGAAGGCAAAGATTCTCCAGCATAGTATTATGCACCACGTTATAGCATTATAATACATAAAAATTAAACACACATATGTGGGTCGATATTAAACACACGCATATATATCTGTGTGTGTTTAACGTCTAGGTATAATAAATTCACTTATTATACACACATAGATAAATAATTAATATGTATAAACCATAATCTTGATTTCCTGAATATACTACCTTGGGGGAACTGGGTCTCTGGACGCTAAACGAAGATTGATTGATTGAATCATGATTTCAGGAATCTAAGCCTATGCTTACTTATAAATAGCATTACTATGTGGTCAAGAAAATGAAATTTCATCTTCAGGTAATGCCACCACTACTATAGCGGCAGCAGCAGCATTGAGATCAAACAGCAGCAACAACAGTAGTAGTAGTACTAACAGCAGTAGGAAGGGGTCCAACAATAAGTGTAAAGGAAGATGGAGGAATAATTTCACTAGAAATGTACTGTGTGGTGTATTATAGTATTTCTTTCTTGTTTTTAACTTGTCTTAAATTATATTATAATATAATGTATATTCCATTATATATGATTTATACACTAACCTTATATAACACTATATAATAATATATAATCCCATACAACTCTACATAACTACATAATACACATTCATATATATATATATATATATATATATATATATTCAATATATATACATATTAACAATGTATGTAACACTATATAACTATATATATTCAATATCTCTACATAACTATATATTTTTATTTTTTTTTATTTTTTTCATCATTTTAGAAGCCAGTGAAGGCGCCACCGGGTCCATCATACAGCAAAACATCTGAATATATATTCTATCAGGTCTCGCTCATTCCACCATTCATTCTCTCTCTCTCTCCCCTCTTTCTCTCTCCCTCTCTTTCTCTCTCTTTCTCTCTCTCTCTCTCTCTCTCTCTCTCTCTCTCTCTCTCTCTCTCTCTCTCTCTCTCTCTCTCTCTCTCTCTCTCTCTCTCTCTAGCTCTAGTGAATATGATGATATAATGTAATTAATTTTCACAATCAGACATTCTTTTATTCTATCAACCAGTCATTTTTTCATTCATTCGTTTATTCATTCATTCGTTTATTCCTTCATTCTTTCAACCATTATATCAACCGTTCATATTTGATTCACTCATTCGTCTCATCATACGTTTCTTCATTCGTTCATCCCTCCATTCTATCAGCAATTTATCTCTTTATTCATTCATTTCTCCGTTCATTTACTCACTAGGGTATGTACTGGCAGTCTGGGGACATAGTCTCTGTAGTTGACATAGAGGACAGAAATATTTACTATGGTCAGTTGAAGGGGTTCGTGCAGACAAAGTTTCTCGACAAGCTGGCCGTCCTCTCTTGGCTGCTGCCTAAAATTGAGAGATCAAGCGATAAATTCATTCTAGATGAATTCTATTTAGGTTTATTATCGTTACTACATTATTATTTCTGTTGTATCTGTTCGTTGTTGCAGCTGGTAGGGTATATTTACATATAATCTTCGCTTTCTCCACTTCTCCATATATATCAAACTATGACGCACGATTTGTATCTTGGGCGCCAAAAAGACGGCACCGAATGTATGAACCTGTTATGTCAGCTCATCATTTTCATACATACTGCTACGTACATATTAAAAGTTTGTTGCTACTCACATCACAGCCAACTAAAGTTTAGGTTCTATGCGTCATCTACGCTCCTGCCTTTGTTCTCCATCTAAAACTGTGCCGAAGTTTAAGCGTACTTGTGTGTACCAGTGGATGTTGATCATCGTCAGATTCTGCAGCCTACAAATGTTCATCACAGGATGAATATTTAAGCTCTTCGCTAGCATTATTTATGCGCCTGTCTTTCTTCTGCAACTGTATCTGAGCCATAGTTCCATTTCAACGCATCCGGGTTCTCTTGGAGTTATTATTATTACTATTATTCTCATTGTAATTATCGTTGAAATTGTATTATTAGGCTTCAACTTCGTATTGTGTTAATTTAATTTGATCGTGACAGATAGGGGAGAGTCGAGCACACTCGCCATGAGCTGTTTCGAGTTCGTCACTCACTGTCCATCTGATTATTATCTTCAGCAACAACAACAGCTGCTGCATCATCATTGCCAGTGTTGTAGTAGTAATAATAATAATAATAAAAGCAATAATAGTAATAATGATATTGTTGATAGTGATAACAGTAACATCAGCAATAATATTAATAACAAGAAGAAGAATATTCAGAACAACGACAGTGATGATGATGCTATTTGCAGCGACGTCATTACGTTTAAATCTAACACCAAAGATACAAATAACGATAATAACGTAAATAATAATAATATAAATAATAATAATAGTGCTGGGAGCAGAGCTAATAGGAGATTTTCAAAGGCCAAAAGAAAATTTTGCAGTAATGCAAATGATGATGATAATAATAAAAATAATAAAAACAACAATAATAATAATAACATCAACATTATTAATAGTAAAAACATAAAAAATAATAACGGCGACGATGATGATGATGATGGTGGTAAGAGGTATGACAAGAATGATGATTGCAATGATGATATGAACATCAGCATCAGTGAGAGTAAGAACAATGACAACAATAATAATAATAAGGACAATTGTAATAGGGTTAATAATAATAATAAGGTCAATAATAATAATAATAATAAGGTCAACAATAATAATAATAATGAGAACTACAGTAATAATAAAAATAGTGACGGCAATGATCTACTTGAAAATTCGAATTTAGCCTCTACTATTATTCATGTTATCAGTAAAGAGATGCAACAGAATTAAATATAGTATTAATACTTATTTTAATAGTAAGGAAAATATAAATTTTGTTCATACAATACTGTAAAAAAAGAATGTACCAATGGCTAACTCCATTCCGTTTTGTATTTCATTTCTTCAGTCAATATTTCATTTCTCTACTATTTTTATTATTTACTATCATTGATCGACAATTTTAACTCGGTTATTTGTAATGATCTATTATGATGGATTCGTCGTTTTGATGGATTCGTATTTTAGCATGTTCAAATAGTGAGCTAAAAGGTAGTAATTTGTGTCCGTGCATGTATAGAACTTCTAAACTTCTTCACATTGTACTGGGGTCCTTTTGAACTAAATTGTTGGCCTGGTTAAGGTTTAGTATATGTATGCATATATACAGTATTGCACATTAATTTTGTTCATACAATACTGTATAAAATATGGTATTCCAGTATATATATATAAATATATATGATTTAATACAAATATATAACAAAATATGTTTGATATAGCGGCTTAATATATGTATATATACATATATATATAATGTATATTTTAAATATGTGTGGGGTAAGGTATTTGTTCTGTATATATATATATATATATATGGGTTAAGGTACAGTTCAAGCATTATAAATAGAGGTTCACATTTAGTTGAGTCAGTCATATGATTTTGCCAGTCAGTTGTTGGATCAGCTGACCGGTTCGATCGGTTTTTTCTTTGTTAGGACTGATCAAAAGAGAGTATTTTTGCGTATTTGTCGTTCAGAATTTATTCTATTTTATAAGATTAGTGAGAATGATGGTCTCGAGTTTGTTAGCTTTGTCGTTGTTCCTGTTTGTGGGTGCCGGACTCTCGGTGGCCGATACCCCGGTGAGTTGCATGTACGAAGATATCAGAGGGAAGTGGGTGTTTTACGTTGGGAATGGTGGCTACGACAACAACATCAACTGCTCGACTATGGGCTAGTAGATCATTATTTTTTTCTCAATTGTGTAGTAAGTTCATAAAATTATCGTTCAAAATGTGATTGAAAATGATTATTATCATCTCTATTTTGATGTTTATTTACTTACATTTTACATGTTGATATTCTACAATTATTGTAATTATTATTTTATCAAGTTAATTATTAATAATGAAATAATTATTTTATAACAAAAGAATGATATGTAAAAAAGGTAAATGTGTAAAATGTAAGTGAAGTTTCAAAAATTTTGTTTCAAGTTTCATGATGCTTTTTTTTTATTTGCAATGATAAAGGAAAGATGGTTAAAATATCACAAATGTTATATTAATTTAAATTGAAAATTCACTCTAAAACTAATTTCTGTATTGTATTTTAATATTTTATTTAATTTATTATGAATATTTAAATAATAACATTTAATAATTGAGAATCAACCTCATCCAACCAATAACCCTAATCCAGGCCCAGTTAAGTACCAGTACAAATTAGAACTCAAGTACCCCAACATTGTCATTGATGAGTTCAACAACGAAGGAACTTGGACCATGATTTATGATGAGGTGAATAGGTATACATATTATATATTATAATATATTTATATAGAGAGTGAAAGAGAGAGAGAGAGAGAGTTTAAAAGAGGTTTATTAATTGGTATACATGTATTTTAATATAAATATATGTATGCATAATTGTTCGTTTGTGTGTGTTTCCTTATTTCATTTTCATCTAGCTTTAATAATAATATTTTCTTAGATGAGTAATTCTGTTAAATTTCTTATTTCAGAATTTTTTTTTTGGTTTTTTAAGCTAAATTAAACTCACTTTTTTACTTCCCACTCACTCCAATCCATCCTCTTCCCCATCTAACTACAAGGGCTTTGAAGTGACAATTCATAATCGAAAATTCTTTGCCTTCTCGAAATTCACTGGTAATATGTTCAACTCGACGAGCTTCTGCAACGAAACATTTCCTGGCTGGTCCCACGATGTCTTTGGCCGGGATTGGGCTTGTTATTACGGAAACAAAATGGCGGGGGATGCTGCTAAGTCATCAGAGAGTGGTGAACTGGCTGGCAGGTTGGTCGGTCGGTTGGTCAGTTTGGTTGATTGATTGATTTATTGATAAGTTGGTTGGTTAACGACGAAAATCAAAAAATAAATTCATGCAGTTTTACACTTTTTAAAATTAAAACTATCCATTTTTTCATTATTCACGAAATAAATTTTTGCTTAATTAAAAATTATCTATTTACAAGAGATTAAAGAATGTAAATAAATAATTTATTTTAATTATCAATTCGAAATTAATAATAATTTTTAGGACTCTATACCCTCCCAAATCAAACTCTCGCAAATTTTTGTTTATCCCGAGAGGAGAGAAATTATTTTCCCGCCAATCTAAAAATAGCCAGCCAGTGGGAGAACGTCTTTACAGGTCGGACCCGTCTATGATTGAAAAGATCAATTCTGATTCGTCGATACTCTGGTGGGCGGCGCCTTATGAGAAATTTGAAAAGATGACAGTGAATGACATGAAGTCTATAACTGGAGGGCATAATACTAAAAAATTGAGGTCATTGATCGGTTGACTGGCTGGTTAAGTGACTGATCGTTTGATTGACAGGTTGATCTGTCAGTTGGTTGGCTGGTTGAATGATCGATTGGTTGATTGACTGACTGATATTTATTGATTGATTGATTGACTGACTGACTGGTTGACATTTCTATAAACAATCACAGACCACCTAAGCTGAATAAGCAACCAAACACAAACGACAACAACATACCCGATCTGCCTGACAATTGGGATTGGAGGAATGTTAGTGGCGTTAATTACGTCACACCAGTAAGAAATCAAGGTTGATTGATTGATTGATTGGCTGATTGATTGGCTTATTGGTTGGCTGATTGATTGGTTGGTTGATTGGTTGATTGAAAGGCCGTCTATTTAGCCGAAAATGGTGTTCCAGTAGTTGTTAATGTAAATCATTATCATGCTTATATTTTACATGATTTTGTAACTATGAAATTTCGTCTTATTAATTTTAATTAGCTATTAAATTTATTAATATATGTTAATTTATGCACGTTTTTAGCGGTTTGTGGTAGTTGTTATGCTTTTTCCTCTGTTGGTATGTGTGAATCAAGGCTGGCCATTGCTACTGGCAACCAAGTCAAGGTCATATTCTCGCCTCAAGATATTTTAGACTGCAGTAGTTATTCTCAAGGTCTGTCAGTCAGATGGCTAAATGATTGGTTGGCTGGCTGGTTGGTTGGTTGACTTAATGATTGATTGATTGGTTGGCTAGCTGGTTGACTGATTGATTGATTGCGCGATTGGTTGGTTGATTTATCGACCGATTGGTTGGTTGATTTATCGACCGATTGGTTGATTGATTGAAAGAAAAATTCATCATAATTAATTAAGACGTGATTTGTTTATTCAGTTAATAAATAAATTTATTAGCTCTTAAATTTCTTTCTTTTTCGCTCCTTCTCTATCTGCACTAAATTAATCTTAAATGATCATCACATCACTGATTTCTCATTCATTACATCACTGATTCTTTAATCATGACGTCAACAGCTTGCGATGGCGGTTTCCCCTACTTAGTTGCAGGCAAATATGCCGAAGATTTTGGCCTGGTTGAAGAAAAGTGCAATCCGTACCAGGAATTCGAACGGGAGACGTGCGATAAAGTTGCGAGACAAAATTGCACTAAGTATTACTTCACTGGTTACCAATACATTGGCGGGTATTTTGGAGGGTAAGTTTTTTAATATTTTCAACAAAAAAAAATATAGTTATTTCTTATTGTATTATTCAGATATGTCAAAAGCAACGTTTATATTTCGCACAAATACGATGCGTTGTACTCTTTTCTTTCGCGTGCTCTGTGTTAGAATCTCTTTGGTTTCAAACCAAAGCACTGCAGATATGATCAGACAGACAGGCACTCTAATCACATCTACGTTTTCAGTTGATTCACATCAATTGAATGCACGCACGCACGCACACAGACACACATTTATTTTTTATTTTAAAATTAACGAAAGTTGCACGGAGCAATTAATGAGGGAGGCTCTAGTAAAGCATGGACCTATGTCAGTTGCATTCCAAGTATATGATGATTTTGTCCATTACAAAGGGGGCATCTATCACCACACAGGTTACTTGCTATCTGTTATATTGTCTGCTATATTATCTGTTATATTGTTAGATTTCTCGTTTTTATCTTCAATTACATCACAACCAATCAGGATTGTCGAACAGATTCATTCCATTTGAATGGTCCAATCACGCTGTCTTATTGGTCGGGTATGGACGTGATGAGAAGACGAAGACCAACTATTGGATAATTAAAAATAGCTGGGGTGAGGAGTGGGGAGAGAAGGGGTATTTTAGAATCAAGAGAGGAACCGATGAATGCGCCGTTGAATCCCTCGCATCCCAAACGTTCCCGATTTTTTAAAAATGAATTACAAAGGAAAACTTTTATTCATCAAAAACTATTTTTTTACAGTTTACCTACAAGTTACAACATTTATGTTTCGTCTATATATTCAAGCTGTAACTTTTTTGACTTTGATAAAGGTTTTATATCCCTTTATTCATAGTAAAATTTGTAATTTTTTCGATCTATATTCGACATATGCCGTCAATATTTACCATATTGGTGTTATGTGTGACGTGTGTATGTGTATCATGATTATTGTATTAAAGATCTTACTTAAAATTCGGTTAATGTTTGTTGGAATAGAGTTTTATATAATGTTTTATTATTCCAGGATTATTCCAGGAATTAGATTATTCAACCAAACTTCTTTGTTTGAATTATGATTTTGGAGTTATAAAATTGACATTCTTTAGAATTTTTATATTGAATAACAACATTAAATTAACCATAGTTTGGATTATGATTTTAGAGTTATAAATTTGACAATCCTAAGAATGCTTATATTGAATAGCACTAAATAAACAATAGTTTCTATGTGAAACATTAAAGTGGTAAATAATAAACGGTTTTGTCAGCCAGTGGTATAATCTATATCGTAAAAACTGTTTTGGATGCCTAATGCGCTATTTAGCAGCCTGTGTTGAAAAATATTAGGCGCTACAAAATTTATGTCATTTAAAAGTTAAGTTCTTTTTTTTTAATTTAAAAGGGTTAAATTTAAAATGCTGAAAGTTATTCTCAAAGCTTGTCATTTTTAGCTTAAAAATTTTCATTTTTGTTTGCGTGAGTTGAAAATTTTCAAGCAAACTAACTAAAAAGAAAAAACTGAAAAAGGGGTCAGTTGTTTTATTTATGTCTTTTAATTTTGACAAGTGACTGTTAGATTAGCCATTAGGATTAGAGGATTAGCACTAGATGACTAGAGTGTTAACTTGTTAAGTTTGTTATTAATTTACTAATCTTAAATTTTTAAAATTTAGTCTTTTAAAATTTAAATTGTAAGGCAACATTTTTTTTAACTTTTTGATTTGAATTTGAAATTCTTTCAGAATATATGTTTATTTAAATAATAATTATATTATAATAAAAAAATTATATATTATATTATGTTAATATCAAATTAATATAAAATAAATTCCCTAATGATGGCAGATGTCACGGGTGTCAAACTACAGTCACACTTTTTTTAACAGCAAAACGGTGAACAAATTTTTCAAAACTGGCCTCAATCAGTATTTTTCTTGTGTTAAAAATTCCTTAATATGTAGGAATATTAACAACAGAAATTGTCTCTTGCTAGTAGTTTCTTCTAAAGATAATTTATTACAGAGGAGGCCACTTTCCAGTCTTTCAACTTTTAATTATTTTTTTCTAAATCAATTGGTGACACATAACAACACCTCCAATGGCCAGTTAGTGACAGCAAATAGGCAGGTTGGGGTATCAGAGAGGTTATATTCATCATCAAAGGATGATTCACCTACTAAGAATCCATCCAAATTGCAGCAACATTCAGCTGACTCTTCTGATCTACCATCTGAAAAACAGTTGGAGAATGTGGAGAAGTTGATGAATTTAGAGGTTAGGGTGTCTGGGCCTAATTATGCATGGCAAATATAATATTTTGTAATATTCTCTTGTATTTGTGGGTTCAGTTGTTTGTTTGAATGAGGGTAAAATAAAATATAGATAGCACAGAGTTTGCTTCGACCATTTTTAATTAGGATCGTTGTATTAACTAATATAATTTTTTAATATGTATTTAATCTTTTTTTAAAACTTTTTCTTCAGTTAAGGACGCTGTTTGTATCGAGACATGAATATAGAATCTACACCAAAGATGTCGAGTTTGAAAATAAATGGAACCCTTCAGAGCCAGAGTCAACCAAGTTAGATTGATGTTATTGATTGATTGATTGATGGATTGATTATCTATCTTACCATTAGATATATTCAAACTATTATTAATAATTGTTGTTGCAATTATAGTAATGGTGGCAGTAGTAGTCGTAGTAGTTGTAGTAGGGTTTGGGTTAGGGTTATTAGTAGTATAAAATTTTAAAATATTTTTAAAATTTAAAGAATTTAAAAAAAAAATTTTTTGTCAGAGGCTTACTTAGGTACGCCATCCAACTGCTGAAAACCCGCCTTTGGATAAACCTACATTATCCCAAAATCCAGGTGCACATGCTCAGTTCGACGATTAACCCATCTCAGGGGCGTGTAAGAATTCGATGGAAAATTGACGTATTACAGCATTCTAAACTGTTTACCGTAAAGAGTGTTACGGCAAGTGGAATGAGGAAAGAGGCCAGTTTGTTATCTCAGTTCAGTTTTAGTTTTTTTTTTTATTTGTGATTGATTGACAGGTTGGTAAGTTCGTAAGTCCGTGATCGAATGTTTGATTGGTAGTTTGATTGATTGCTTAAATTGGTTTATCAATTTAATTGATTGATTGATTAATTAATTGATTGTATTTTATAATTTCCATATTTTTTTCCTATGAAAAAATTTTCAGGCACATTGAACTCCAGTCGACGTTTTACGTTAACAACAAGGGCTACGTCTACAAGCACAAACTGGAAAGGGTGAGATTTAAAAATAAATGAATAAATTATGTTAATTAGGCTCATAATAATAATAACTATTATTATAATTATTATTAGTGACGTCGTATTTAACTAATTTTGTTTCAATCTTCTCTCAGATTTTACCCGAAAGCGTTAAAGAAGATTGAGGTCCACGAACGGAGGCACACGCAGCAGCATTCTTCATTTCTCAAAGATAAATTTACTGTTTAATTAATTTGCACGATAGATTTGAATGCTGTTTCTGGGGTCAACGAAAAAAACGTGAAATCCGTATAGAGAGAGAGAAGGGATTTTATCTATTTGCGAATTTTATTCTTCATTTCTCAAAGATAAATTTACTGTTTAATTAATTTGCACGATAGATTTGAATGCTGTTTCTGGGGTCAACGAAAAAAACGTGAAATCCGTATAGAGAGAGAGAAGGGATTTTATCTATTTGCGAATTTTTTGAGACGACCTTAGGTCCGGTGATTAAATTGGTGATAATAAATAATGATGATGGTGATGAAAATGATTATAATAAATGATCATGAGAAGATTAAATGATGATGATGGTGATGATGAAACTGATGATAATAAATGATAATGATGACTTACATACATACACGTACACACATACAGACTTATATACACGTGCCTGGCAGAAATTTAGTGAAAAACACCAGGAGAGCCCTAACTTTATTTCAAAAATAACAAAATAAAAATAAATTAATTACACTAAAAAATAAGATTACACAGTACCAAGATCTTTATGACTTATAAAAGAAAAAAATCTTTTTTAAAATATTTAATTTCAAATAATACTATTTCGGCATTTTATAAGATAGATCAGTCTTCTATCTATTCTTTCATTCATTCACTCGCACATTCGATCAATCTTTTTCATCGTTTCATTGGTTAATACACTTAATCAATCGATCATTCATTTACTCATTCATTCATTAATCTTTTTCTTTCTCTCTCTCTCTCTCTCTCTCTCACTATTTTTATACTTATACAGTAATTTAAATGCAAAAACAGATAAATAATGATAAATGAAATAAGTATATATATATATATATATACATAATATGAACAACTTCAAAGAATTGAACTTAACTAATACACAGACGCGCACAAACACACACACACACTCACATATATATATATATATATATATATATATACAATTTATAAGTAAATGAAAGAACTTAAAAGAACAATATTTATCATGTAAGAAGGTTACTGAATAGAAATATATGATAAATGTCTATGTATGTGTACATGTTTTATTGATGTACATTGTTGACAAGTTGACAATATATGTATAGATATATATATAAATGTGTATACACATTCTATAAGCGTCAATCAATCTATCTTTCTTTTACTCGTTCATCCATCCATCCGTTCATTTATTCAATCGATTGTTTTTTCAATCAATCAAGACTGATCAGCAGGTAAAAAAAACAATAAAACATCTGAATAAATGATTCAATCGATAACTCATTCAATCAATCGATCAATCAATCGACCAATCACTCATTCATTCATTCATTTATTCAATCGATTAATCAATTAGTCAATCATCTATCTATTCAAACATTCAGACACTCAGTAACAAATAGGCTTAACAAATATCTATGTATTAAGATATGTTTGACGGGCGAGTCTGTTGACGTTATAAACTCAATTAAACATCAATCAACCAACCAATGAATCAATCAATTATTCAATCAGTTATTCAATCTTTCAATCAATCTTTCAATCAATTAATCGATCGATCAGTAATTCATTTCATCAATCAAGAATAATAATTATGCAAAACGATAAACTCTTTATGTAAAATCTTTTTTTAATGTTGTCTTCTTTGACTTCTTTTACTACTACCACTACTACTACTACTACTACTACTACTACTGCCACTACTACTGCTACTACTACCACTACTACTGCTACTACTACCACTACTACTATTACTGCTACTACCACCACTACTGCTACCACTACTACTACTACTACTACCACCACTACTGCTACTACTACTACTACTACTCCTTCTTATCTTTCCTTTTGAGTGCTGCAACAGGGACCTTCCCAACGATATTTTTGGTTGTATCGACAACAACCTCCCCAGCGCTATAACCTTTTGACGCCACCCACTTCACCCCTCCGTACCCCAATCCGAACGCCCCCGATATCACCCCCGTCGTCGAGTTTACCAGACCGGAGGATAGTCGCCAGACATAACCGCCATTTTGTTGCTGTTGTTGATCTTGTTGGGTTGGAGTTTCTGTATTTGTTGTCGTCTGCTGTTGTTGCTGTTCATCTGATTGGTTGGGAATTTTTTTCACGGGAGGAGTTATTATAATTAGTGACTGTGATTAGAGAGTTGGTGGATGATAGTAATGTAAAGTTAATTTGATTTAATTTGGAAATATTTTATTTTTGTATGAAAAAAGTTTCTTTGACATTTTCCATTACAACTTTTCGCTGAATATAGGAATATAAGATTGCATTAAATAATCTGTATTATGGATTGTTATTTAGCTAGAATTTGTCATATCAATATTATTAAATAAATTAATTATGTGTGTGCGTGTGTGTATGTGTGATATATGTCTTTAAACATTAACTAGGTATGAGTGTATGTATATGTGTGTGTAGCACAAAAGCATGTATGTGCATGTATATGTGTGTGTTTGAGTATGTGTGTTTATGTGTGTGTATACGTGTATGTGTGTGTTTGTTTTGTTTTTTTTGGCACAATCCAGTTAGTTTTAACCTTCAAAAGATCTATAAGATGAGGATGATGAAGTTAAATTTTCTTTTTCATGGCTCTCTGCTGCTGAATAACCATCATATTTGTGCTGGTTGGAAAAAATTTATCATCATATGGAATTATAGATTATTATTTATTGGGTAAAATAATAAAGATCATTTATCAGATGAATCGGTATTGTATATTAATTAAGATTCCTGGGAATGCTGCAATAACACAACCTAGTTTATTTGACACTGATCGCAGGATTGCATAAATAAATAAAATCATATTCATTTTATTTTATATATTCATGTAAGTAACAACTTTTAACTTATTCAACCATTTTTAAAAGCTTCAACATTTGTAGCTATAGCATTATAATAACAATGATTGAATAAAAAACAATAAGCTTGCTACATAGAGAGCTGTTAAATTAAAATAAAATTATAACTATAAGTTTGCCAATGTCCTGAAAGGATGAGACAAGAGAGAGAAAAAGTAAGAGGGTGAGGGTTAGAGAGGTTAGATTCGTGGCATTGGCTTCCAACTGAGACGCAAAAAGACGTGTACACGATGACAAATTAATATTAATTAAATCCACACATGAACACAACAGTTAAAATAATCTCCAAAAACTGGCAAAAGACAAAAAATTTCTCTAACCGAATGAAGTTTAGTGACGGATGAAGATCTATGATCGAGCATTTTCATTCAAATTCAAGATATTTCAATTAAAAAGTTATCAAATTCGCAAATTTAGACCACGAATCCACTACAAAACGAACTTATCTTCTGGAAGACGGTCGACGTGGCTTACTTTATATTGTGTGTGTATGTTTTATCTTAAGCAATAGAATTATATATATATATATATATATATATATATATATATAACAGTAAGTATATTAGTGTATGTATAATATAAAACTAGTGCAGGTCGTCATCAACGACGCACATACACCTTATAAGTGAATTAATTAAAAATAGCGTGAACTTTAAGCAGACGGTAGTTAGAGTATTAATTTTTTATGGATAATGCATTTTAGAATTTATATTTGGCCTTAAAATGTGATGTTAGAGGCGCAAAATGAAGTTTTTGACCGTCAAAATGTACGGTAAAAATGATACTCAGATGTAAATATACAGCTGTGATGAAAGAACTTATACAGATGTTGACGATTTATTTAAAATTATTTTTAAAATTACTAACTAATGTTAATATCAAAAATATCTAAAATTACTATTATTTCTTTCAAATTTTCATTTATTTAATTATTTTCTATTTAAATATTTATCTAAAACATTGGGTTTTAGAACGTTTTTGGTAATCAAGTTAAATCCACTGAATGACATTAATAAAAAATTGATTTAAATGGTTTAAAATTTACCAATTCTAAATATTCAAATGTAAAATGATAGAAAAAAGCTATTTGAATGCAAATTCGGCAAAATTCATTAGCTTATGTGCGGTTTCATTTCACAAAACTATTTTAACAAGACTAACTATATCTAATATTATATTATATAATCATGCATATAATATCTTATTTCATCAAAACTCTCAGCAAATTACTTTTTTCCTTATCCTACCAAACAATTTAAATCGGAGAATTAAAACATTACTGCTAACAACTATTGAAAAAGAAACCTCTTTAACTTTAATAGATTTTTTCACTAAATTTAATGAAATCGAGGATGTAAGATGATAATTTAAAATCAAATATTAATTAGAGCGCACCTCGTCCATCCATTTTGTATTTTTATTGACTTTAATTTCCCCAGCCAATGGGAAGGCGGCTGTGACGTCACAGCTAGTAGTTGGTATATAAAGCAGAAAATAACAAGCAAAATGTTAGGCCATAAAAATTTCAAAGATGGCGTATCGTTGAGTTTTGTTTTTTATAAATCTTCATTGAAATGTTTACGAAATCTGTCCTACTGCTCTATAATCGTCCGATTGACGGATTTATATGAATTGGGCTGGCTGTACGGATTTTAAAAATGTAATTTTATCATAGGTTTAATCGAAAATTGACGTTATGTTTTAAAAATTAGTTTATGTAATTTTTAGAGTGTGGATGTAGAAATTTATTTTATTTAATTCGTTTTTAAAGACAATTTCTCGTTTCAAAGATCAAATAATCCATTTTAGATTTATTTTCCCCAATCATTCTATGCACTATTTTTATTCAGTTTAATGGGGCAAGCAAAATAACTTCCAATATCCATATCCAGTTTAACTTTTCTTTGATGATTTTATTTTTGATCTATCTATCTATATTTTTGAAAAAAATAACATACTTTTAATAAAAACATTGGATATATTTATTGCTTTATTTATGGTTTTTGTTTGTAACTAACCAGAGCCATTTTTTAAGATTTTTACTAACAATTTTTAGTTATAAACATTGAACTAATTTGATAATATCTGGTTGCCTAAATTAGTGGCCGCCATATCACAAACTTTTAACCATTAATGCCTAAATCGATAGTTAATTCTTCTGCGGAAGTTATTACAGTCGATGGTAAACCCGCACAACAGCACCCACCACTTTCCTCCTCCTATACGTCGATGGACTTGTCCCCACTGAGTAACAACACGCAGCCCTCGCCAAAGGATAGTGGGGTAGATGTGAGCTCACCAACCCACCGAGATGAGGATGCATATTTTGGCAGTCCCCAAGTGACAAACAACAATAATAACAGCATCAGCAATTGCAGTAATAACATTATTAGTAATAATAATTCAGTCAAAGTTTGTAGTGTTGTTAACGAAAACAGAATGCCTGCTGAAAACATTAACAAAAATGATGTTAAGGCAGCCTCTCGTGATGATGTTACCAAAGATGCTGCATGTTTTAATTCGGGGGTTTTAAATTTTGCAGCCAAAGGAAAAATTGAAAGTGATGGAGTGGTAAATAATTTCACTACCAAAACCAAATTAGTGAATGGTCTTAATAGTAATATAACTAAAGTTACTAAATCAAAGTTTTACAGCACTGACAGAAAGAAACATTTAAGCTTAGGCGAAATTCAGGAGAGGGAGTTCAGAAAGATCATTGCGTTGGATGATAAAGATCGAAAACATAAAAACAGCAGCCATACGACAGTTGCAAAGTCAATTTCTCGTCAGAGTTCTACAAAATCAAACAGCTCTACCACTTCAGTCACAAACTGCAATCTACATACTGGTGCCAAGAAGAGCTTATCAATGTCGTGCACTGATATAACCACTACAACAACAACAACAGCAGTAGCTACAACCACCAATACTACTTCTATTTCAAACTCCATCTCAAAGACATCATCAAAGGTAACAAAAGTTAAAAAAGTAAAAATGGAACTTGTAAAAAATAATTATGCCATTGCTCCCATAGAAGAGAAAAAAGTTGGATTTGTTATAAAGTTAAAGAGACAAGAAACAACAACCATTGGTAAATCTGCAACTGCCGTTATAACCACAACGACAACAACCACAATGACATCAACAACAACTGTCACAGCAGCAGTTTCGTTGTCTAACCAAAAACAAAAACGAGGTCCCACTGGCAACAAAAACGTTAGTGAAGTCAGTGAAATGTCCCCAACTGAAGCCAAATTATCTACGTTGAACTCAGTAAGCTTGACAACAGCATCAGCGCTAACAAAACATCCATCAGCCACAGCAAAACTTACAACAGTAGCATCACTAATCACCAACAACAGTAGCAACACAAACGAAACAACGTCATCAACAACCAACAACAACAAACGAAAAGCTAAAAGTGAATCTAGATCAAGAGCCAAAAAGCTCCACAACAACAACAACAGTAGTAAAAAAACAGCAACCACTAACAAATTTGAAAATCAATCAAACAGCAACTGCAGCAACGACAAAGTTTGTCTAACCAACCAAATAAAATTAGGTGGATCTGATTTAGGCAGAGGAGGTCCAGGGCTGGGCGCCTCTGGTGATTCACCTAAAATGCCAGAACTGCAAATGGAGACACCTTTCATTTCTTCTCCCATGTCTGATTCTGGGCTACAGAACAACAACATCAACAACGCTAACAATTTGCCACCTAAATTTAATACACTTAATGATAATTCGAATAGTAATAACAATAATTTAAATAACAACAATAACAATAATAATAACCACCATATTAGTTTCAACTACCACAACAGAATTAATAATTTTTTCAGTAATATCACTAATTCTAGCAGCCAACACTATGATTATGTGATAGGTGATAGTAATAATATTAATAATAATAATAATAGTAACAACAACAATAATAATAATAATAATGTTGGTAGTGGCTTCAATCCTGTTAATTATGCTAATAATTACAATATCAGTAGTGGTAATAATGATGGTGATACGAATTCCCATAGAAATAGTAGTGGTACTTCTACTATTAATGAATACAATACGCCACTATTGTCATCCTCATCATCATTTTCACCATCATCATCATTGCCAATGAAGATGTCTCCATATTTTCCAACAGCATCATCATCATGTTTTCCAGGTGTTTCTACGACAATAGCAACAGCATCAACGTCGTCTTTTTCTACATTCTCCCCGATGTCATCAACATTTTTCCAGGCGTCAATATTTCAACCTCAACTGATAACAATGCCTAAAAGGTTGAAATGTCGATTAGGCAATAGTGTTATAACTAAAACTTTACCGAATTTTGTTGTTGGGAGTGCTCCAGCAACATTTTTGCCAGGTAATTTTACAACTACTGCCAATCCTACTAGCAGTGATAATAATGCTGTATGTGCTGTTGGTTTCAATAGCCATTGTCCTAGTACTTACAACAACAATGTTTTTAGCAGCTGCAACGTCACTAACTACAACAACATCAACATCAGTAACATAGCCAACAACAGCAACAACAACATAAGTAACATTGCCAACAACAGCAACAACATTTGCAACAACAACAGCAATGATGCAGTTTTCAATTTTCATGACAACTTAAACACAGCCAACAGTACAATATCACATCACAATAATAACTACTATAGCAACAATAATAACGACAATAGCAGTAATAGTAATAATAATAGTAATAATAACTTTTGCCCCATTGTTGGTTATGATAACAATAGCATTAATTCTAGAACATTAGATATACCTGATACATCTGATTTACACCTAGCAACAAAATCAGTGCCATCAACGTTGACCACATCATCATCATCAGTACCAACATCTTCAACACCAACATCATCATCAGCATCAACAACAACAACAGCAACGACGTCGTCATCATCACCGTCAACAACTACTACTACTACAACAGCAAAGAATTCTGTAAAATCAAAAAGTAACAAAAAACCTCAGAAATCGTCAGAAAATTATTTATCTGTTAAGAGTGTTACCGGTTTAAAAATAAAACTTTTGAAGCCAAAGACAACACCACTCCTTATGGCAACCACTACCATTGCCACTACTACTACTACTACCATTTCAACTGCTACTATCGTTACTACTACTACTACATGTACCTCTGATAGTAATACTGCTACATCTAGCATACACAACAACACCAGTAGCAAGGATGATACCTGTAACGTTGTTGATAGCATTTATAATGATGGAATGTCGCACCCGTCACCTAAACTTTCATCAAAATCAACATCAGCAGCTGTAGCGGTTGGAGCAGCGACATCAACAGTTGAAGCAGCAGTAGCATCAGAGTCACCATTTTTTGGCCCATCATTACCTACACTGGGTGAAATGATGATAATGACGTCTGCAACAGCAACGACTCCATCCGTATCTGCAACAATCAAACCATCGTCACCCTTTCATGATGGTGACGGTGGGGGTCATTCTAGTATTAGTAGTAGTAGTAGTAGTAGTAACAATAATAATAATAATGATAATAGAATTGAGAGTAAATTCAATGGTGTTTCTCCTGCGAGTGATTTAGACAACCAACATCGCAGCAGTTTCCAACATTTTCAGCAGCAGCGGCAACCGTTTTCAAGTGCAGATTTTCAGGCACAACAGCAACAAAACCAGCTACAACCACCGCAACTACAACAACAGTATCAGAACCAACAGCAGTACCAGCATTACCACAGCGGCCGTCATCAACAATCGGAAGGACCGAATCAAAACCGGCAACAACATCTGCAACAGCAGCAGCAGCAACAACTTTTTAATATGCTGCAGAGTTCACTACAACCTCATTGCCTGCAACCATTTCAACAACAACAACAAAATCAACAGTTTTATCTTGATCAACAACAAAACTTGCAACAACAACAACAGCAGCAGCAAAATTTAGACCAATGCCATCAAACCTTGTTAAATCCACATCAGCAGCAAAATTTGTGTTCTTCACATCAACAACATCAACAGCCACAAAAGCATGAAGTGCACCAGCTGCAAATTTGCAAAATAGTCAAAGAAAAATGTGTTGTAATGCCAGATGGTAGAACAAAAAGATTAAAACTAAAATTAGCCCTGCCACCATTACCACCACCACCATCATTTTCATCATCATCACTTTCGTCATCATCATCATCATCGTTGTTTTCCACCTTTTCTTCGTCTCCACTTCAGACGTTTCCACCATTACAAGCAGCTCCAAGAATGCCAGAAGCAAATTTTACTGCAGATTACCTTATGTTGTCATCATCATCGTCATCGTCTTATTCATCATCACCATCATCGTCGTCGTCTTATTCATCATCATTATTATCTTACTCATCATCGTCGTCGTCATCATCGCCGTTCTTGACGTTGTCGTCATCTTTATCGTTATCATCTTCGAGGTCATCTTTACCTATTTGCTCAATTAACTCAGGTTCACCATTCAACAGTAAGAATAATAACAACAACAACAATAATAATAATAATAATAATAATTACCCTAACTCTAACCACAATAATAATAATAATAACAATAGCACCACCGCCACCAACAACCACAACAACTGCAATGATATTATCAATTTCCAACATTTGGCCAGTACATTCGATGATGATCGTCACAAGTTTCTGTCCCAGCACAAACAAAGTGATCATCTCAATCAGATTAATCCGAATCACCTCTACAACAAAAATAATAATAATAATAATAATGATAGTGCTGGTAATAGTAGCGACAATTTTCATCATTATCAGGATTATGGCCAGCTGCAGTACAGTTCAGAGCTATTGAATTTAAATAAAAAATATGATGTGGTTGATAATAGAGATGATGATGACGATAATAGAGATGATGATGGTGTCTCTAGTGACTACAGTAATCACAAACAGATATCGTTATCATCATCTACGCAGCAGTCCTTATCAGTAAAGATGTCGTCGTCATCACCACCATTATCATTATTATCACCCCATAGACAAATAAGAAGGAGTGATGATGCTTATGCTTATGATAATGATGACAATCATCATCATCGTAATCATAGTATTTCCAAAAAGTTCCTTAATAATTTTAAGCCAGTTAGCAATGAATTGGTACAAGGACAGCACAACCAACATCATCATCATCATCACCACGCTCCTCCTCCTCCTCCTCCTCATCATCATAATTCTTTTAATCATTCTCCTAATCATCATCAGCTGCAACAACAACAAAATCATAACATTATTTATAATAACTCATCAACAAACTCCTCTTATAATGATAATGATGGTGATAATAATAGTAATAATAATAACTATAAGTGCAATTTAGCGTTACCAACATCACAGCTACTAAGTATGCCCTCACCATCATTCTCATTACCATCATCATTCTCATCATCATCGTCATCATCATTCTTATCATCATCTTCGTCGTTGTTTGTCCCGATTCCTTTGTGCCTGTCTGATAATTCAATAAATATTACTGATAGTAGTAGTAGAAATAATAATAATAATAATAATAATAGTAGTAGTAGTAGTAGATCTAAGAAGATCAATTTCAGTATAGAGAGCATTTTCTCCAGGATAAAGACAAAAATAAACACAACA